TGCGCTGGGCACAGGAGGCATGCCATGGGGGGAGGCTGGCTGTGGCTGTGCAGGGGGAACAGGGGAAGACGAGGGGGACCCCGTTACCTCAGCATTGTGGACGCTGGCCTGAGGCCCTCCCCTGTTCCACAGAGTGGGGCTGGGAGCAGGCCTAGCCGAGCCCGTACTGGGGAGAGGGGAGAGGCGCTGGTTAGTGCTTGGGCTCCTAACTGTCCCGCCCTCCTTACCCCCCAGATGAGGATCTCATCCGGCAGATCCTCGCCGACGGCGCTAGCGGCATTTCCCACCCCCAGGAGACGGGGCCTCATGCCCGAGCCGAAACGGACCTGCTCTCCGGCCTGTAAGTATGCAGGAAAGAGGGTGAGTGAGCACTGCCTGGCCCCCTCCAGAGACGGGGGCGACAGATTCTGCCTAACCCCTGCCCCCCTTGTCTCCCAGGGCCCGGCTGAAACAGGAGCAGGGCTGGGGCCCTTCCATCTACGCAGCATGCAAGGGGCCCCCGCCCGTGTCCCTGCTCCCTGTAGCGGTAGCTTCCCCCCACTGCCCATGTGGCTCTTACCTCAACCCGGCTCCAGCTGCCGGTGTGACGGGGTCTTGGGGGACCCAGAGCTGCAGCCAGGCCCTGCTAAGGGCTGGGGGAGAAAGTGTGTGTGTGGGGGGTAGGGGGCTGGCTTGTGAGCAGTCCAATCCACTTCCAAAATTGGGAAGGCCTCGTCCTGCCCTGTTCAGCTGCCCCTGGCAGGACAGTCGCCTTGTGCTGCAGCAGCCTTGTGAAATCTGGCCCTGGGACCCTGGCAGGCGGCTTCGGCTGCCCAAACGCCGCGAGCAGCACTGAGCGTGCACCGTGACCAGGGGAGCTAATTCGCCACAGGGTTGCCTGAGGCTGGGGGGAGAGGAAGCGTCTCGCTGCTCGGGTCCAGGCTCTTCTCTGTCAGGCCCCTCCCCACGAGGCTGCTTCCTGCCAGGCCCGGGGGTCCGCTGGAGCGTCTCTGGCAAAGCAAAGGCGGGGCGACGCCCCATGCTAAGGGCATTGCTTTGCCCCGGCAGCTCCTCTGTGTTTGGGGAGAAGACGGAGACCATCATGCTGCAGCGGCTGAACGAGAAAGGGCAGAACATCCCAGCCCCGGCCAGAGACGTGAGCGGCTCTGCCAAGTCGACGTGGACAGGTACTGGGCGGCTAGGCCGGCTCCGGTGTCAGGGCCCCGCACAAAGGACCTGCTCTCTGGAACCGGGAGGGCAAAGAAAGCTCAGATGTTCTGGCGATGGGCGGAGAGACGTCCCTGGTGGGTGCCCCTTCCTGGAGTGCGAGGGGCATCCCATTCTGCAGCTCGCTGGTCTTTGCCTTGATGTCCCTTTGGTCTCTGGGCTCTTGTGCAAATCACCATAAACCCCCCTTCTGGGAAAGCCCTCCCCCCGCTGGTTGTGCTTGAAGGCGTCACCGACCGTACGCGACGACAAAGCCACCGCTCCCCCTCCCATGTTTCCAAAGCACATTTTGGCCGTGAGCTGATCGGACCGGAAGGTGGGGAGTGCCCACGTGTCACCCCCGGGGAAAAATCTCAAATGAAACCTCGAGCCAGTTAGAGGGAGATGGAAAGGAGACGTCGTGCCGCGATGCGTAACGTGGGCAAACAGTCCACGCCTCCTCCCTCCAGCCCGGCTTCTCTCATGGTGGGGGGGCGGGGAGCTGAATGGATGGCAGATGTGGTAACGGTTCCTTGGCTCCCCACCTATGGGTCCTGGTATGGCTTGCTTGATTTCTTGCACTACAGCCTCAGGGCAGGAAGCTGAACCCGGCGCTCTCGGGCGATGAAAGTCCCTCCTGTGGTCTTGCCCGAGCTACTGGAGAGTCCGATTTGGATCGACTCGGTTTAAGCAGCCCCTCCAGGACTGGGGGCGTGGAGGCTAAGCAGCCGGTTTGGAGAGCCGGGCCTCCCAGGGGCAAGCAGGTTGAAAGGAAGCATGTAAAACAATTGTTTAAAAATGTAACCACTCGATATCCTCGTGCGAGGCCGGCAGCCAGCCCCCGCTGCCTCCTGGCCCCGCTTCCGCGGAGCTGGCTGCCCTGCAGGCTCTGCAGTATACTGTCGATCCCACAGTGCGGGTGACAGCCGGCTCCCAGGGTGCCAGCGTGCAGCTGTAACGGAAACTGACAAGATGATGCTTATCGCTTAACGGTTTAAACGGTTACACTTCTGCATCCCTAGTTCCACACCTCACAGGGCCGCCTTTCTCCTCCTCCGGTGAATGGGTCTTTCGGGTGACACAAGGCGTGACTAGGTGTTAAAGATCCCACGGGCCTTTGGGAAGATCTGATGTGCTAGGGCCAGTGTCCGGCTGAGAACAGCCGCCCTTCCCCACGTGCACACTAGACAGGTGGCTGCTGCCCCCACTCCTCCAGGGGCACGAGATACTCGTGTGTTCTGTACAGCGTAGTCGGGGGAGGGACCGGAGAAATGGGGACTGTCCTTAGGAAGAGCACCCAGGTTTCTGCCGGCTTTCGTCTCTGGTGGGGCTGGCGCGTGCTCGGTCCTGCCAGTTTCCAGCAGCCCCGGGTGGGGTTTCAGCCCCCTACTTTGCTCCCCGCAGTTGTGGACCCCGGGTTCCGGAAGCGCCTGCTGCCGCACTGGTGCTCCTTCCTAGCTCACGCCATCAGCCTCCTGCTCCTTGCCACCTCCATGGGCGTCTCGGTGTGGATCGGCGTGGGCTTCAGCTCCAGCGTGGCGCTCATGTGGCTCATCTCAGGGATTTTCAGCTTCCTGGCGTCCTTCCTGGTCTGGGAGCCTCTGAAGGTAAGCAGGGTGCGGGAGAGAAGGTGCAATCCCTCCCAGGGAGTTGAAATTGCTTCATGGCCTGTGGTTTCCAGAACCCACCCGTCTAGGCGGCGCCGCTGTCTGTATCCGGATCTGTAACTCGCTCAGGTCCGTGGACCGTGGGAAAAGCCCTGAGGGAGTGGGCACCGGCAGGCCGGGATGTGCTTAAATCTCTCTGCTTGTGGCAGGGGAGCATCCGTGGACGTTACAGAGCTGCAGACCGTCACGGTGGCGCGTCGGGAGTCCCGCGTCCCGCACAGGGAAACACGGGTGCCCCCGCCCCCGAACAACTCGGCAGCAGCCAGACAGGGCTTCCTTCCGGGAGAAACCCATTAGCACAGCCCCATAGTTGGAAGGTGCCTGGAGCCACGTCAAGGCTGGCCCCTCTATTCAAGCTCCCCTTCCCATTGGGAGCAGAGAGGCTGGTTCCCAGGGGCTGTGTGTGGGGGGGGGCTGCCACGCGGGTGTCTTACGCGCATGGATGTCCCGGGTCACAGGTTCTGCTGGAAGCCCTGTACTTCGCACTGGTGGCTAAGCGCCTGCACCCGGAGGAAGATGACACGCTGGTGGAGCAGCCCTTCGTCGAGCACGTTTCCGAAAAGATCAACAAAGTCCGACCTCCGCAGGGGTTTGCCCTTTTCCAGGCCAAGGAGGAGGCCCGGAAAGTCAAACTGCTTCACAAGATGCTAAAGGTAAAGGGCCTGGCCAGCAACCTGGCTGCCAGGCTGCTTGCCAGTTTGATGAGCTAGTAAGTTTGGTTGCTAAAAGCGACAGCGCTGAGGTAATACACTGGAAGGCATTTGCCTCGGTACCACTCTGCGCTCAGATGACGAGCCTACAAACCCGTACAATTAACATGACGTTAAAGCCTATAAAGGCTCACAGCCCATCACAAAGTTCCTTTGAAAGCTTGGCCTCTAGCATCACCACAGGGAATTTAAATACTTCCTCTTGTTTGGCTCACAATAACCATAAGTAAGTGTGACAAAATAGGCAGCAGGTGTAAAACAATACAAAGGAAGTTTTTCTTTACTCAGCGCGCAGTCAACCCGTGGAACTCCTTGCCAGAGGATGTGGAGAAGGCTAGGACTTTAACAGCGTTCAAAAAAAAGCTAGATAGATTCATGGAGGTTAGGTCCATCAATGGCTATTAGCCAGGAGGGTAGGAATGGTGTCCCTCGCCTGTTTCCCTGGAGATGGGTGATAGGGGAGGGATCACGTGAGGATTACTGGCGCATCTGGTATTGGCTACTCGATCGATTAAGGGCACTGCCGCCTTTGAAATGTATGTTGCAAAGGTGGAAGAGCCGCGGGGAGCGTGGGGTGAGTGGAAACTCAAGCAGCCCCCTGCTGGCCCCATGCTCCCTGCTTTTGAAATGCACAAGAGCTCCGCAGGGAACATAAGCAGCCCCCCTGTGCTCCCTGTGGCACTTCTGCTTTTGAAACGTAGCAAGAGCCCTGAGGAAACACTGCCAGTTCCCTGCCCCCCTCCCCATGGAGACGGTACTGGAGGGAACTGGGTTTTAAGCCTGCTCCCCCCCCTGCCGCCTCTCGGGAAAGACGAGTCTTACCTCCCTAGAACAGCGGTCCCACCGCACTAGTTAGAGCTTCTCAGTTAGCAGCGGCTGTGGCTGTGGCAGCTGCAGCTCAGAGGTGAGGACGCAAGCGCAGGGGCGGATACAAAATGTCGTGTCCACGTAGGGGTCTGAGGATCGGCTGAGGAGGACAAAGCCAGGCAACCTACTGTGCGGTGAACACAGAGGCCTGGGGGCGCCTCTCCAGCCGTTGGAGGCGGTTCGAAGGCGGGAGGGATGGACAGAGCACGGGGCTGGGACCCAAGAGATGTGGGGTCTCCTCCCGACTCCGCCACTGGACTGCTGGGGGACCTTGGGCAAGTCCCTTCCCAGCTCGGTGCCTCAGTTTCTCCATTGGCACAATGGGGATGATGAACCTTAGCTACCCGGGGTGCAAATAAGCAGAAGTTTCTGCTGGGACAGGAGTGGGGAGGCCTGTGAGACCTCCCTTAGCCTGGGACGCTCTTGGTCTTCCCCTCCCCTTCCATTCCATGGGGGAGGGGAGGGGAGGGCAGTACAGCAGCCCGTGGGGAAAGGAGCAGAACCCCCGCCCTGTCCCTGGATGCGGCCGCTCCGCAGAAGGGCCTGGGCCCACAGCCATGCCAGCCCCCCGGCCTGTTGTGTTCCGGCACGCCGTCGCGGCTGAACGTGGCGTTCCAGAGCATGCTGCCTCACCTGCTGTCCGGCTGCCCTCTGCAGGAGAGCGCGGTGGGCGCGGTGGCTGGGAAGCACGCAGTCCGAGCTAGGGGGCGGAGTTGCAAGCCTCCAAGGGATGGAACAATTTCCTCCCCTTGGGGTCCGGCGCTTTGGCGGCCGACGCGTTCCCCCGCCGTGATGGAAACACAGGCGCTCCGGTCTCGTGCGCGGGACAGCGGCGCGGGCCGCCTGCATTAGGCAAGGCCCGGGCAGTGCCTGCAGCCTCTCCCTGTGAATACACCCAGCTCTGCTAGCCCCCTCCCCCCCTCGCGTCGTGCTGAACGGGGCAGTCTCCCTGCACGCAGGAAGCCACGCTGCCAGGGTGCTATGCAATCTGTGTTCCCCCGAACACGTGGAGCTGGGCTGGCTGGCGGGAGGAAACAAATTGTTCCGAGGCCAGGGGCCGGGGTGGGATTCTATTTACCAGCAGCTCCGCAATGGAAATCAACAGACCAGGAAGTGTGGGGCCCATTGCTGCTTCCAGTGGGGGGGGCCTTGCTATCTGAGGGGAGCAGGATCCGGCCTGGAGACTCAGGAGAACTTCCTTCGTGTGCTCTGCAGCCTGAGGGAGGCACCGTGCCCTGGGCTGTGAGCAGCCCCCTGACGGCGTCTCTGTTTCCTGCTTGCCAGAATTTCCTCATCTATATGCTGTTCTTGCTGGTGACGCTGCTGACCAACTACGGCGACGCCTCCCGCCACGGCAGGGCCTTCCTCCTGCAAAGCTCCATCAAGCAGCAGGTTGGCGGTGAGGAATTCCTCCGCATCAAGAGGTAAGGGCATTGGCGGATCGCCAGTGGGAGGCCAATTGGAGCAAACGCTCCTGTCGAATTCCCTCACTCCTCCCGACTGTGAGGTGTACCGCTGCTAGCTGGAGCTGCCCTTGTCGTTTGATTTAGCGGGTCTTAACTAGACCTGCTAAATCAAATGCCAGAGCCACTGCTTGGAATGAGTTCCGTCCTTGTCTCAGCCCTCTCGGGTTGCTCCATAGCCAAGGGAGACTTGGAAAAGTCAGAGCCAGCGTCTGTGTCACAAAAACTTACAGAAACCCTGGTTCACGATGATCTAACTCAGGCGCGATCCCACTGACGTCAGCACGGTGGCACTGGTTGAAAAGTGGTGTGAGAGCAGACTCAGCTCCTCGTCACAGAGGGACTGGGCTTGTTTGCAGGGCACTGGCCAAGGAAAGGGGCTTGTATGGATGGCACCCCCCTCACCGAAGGCCTCTTGGCACCACAAGAATGCTGTGAAGTGGCTTCAATATAAATGAGAATCAGGCTTGACAGATTTCTGTGGGGTGCTCGTTATGTGAGGTTGATGCGGCAAGAGGGAACATGTAGGCCAGGGGCGGGGAACCTTTTCAGGTCGGGGGCCTCCGACCCACAGAACAATCAGTTGGGGGCCGCACACAAGTGAGAAGCAACAACAACAAACAAACCCTCACTGAGGTGGCCCCCACCCAAAAAGGAGAAAGACGCTTCCCACGTTCCCCTCGCACGTCAGCCTCGTGGATTTTGTGTGCACCCACCCCATGGGAGGGGGAGTACCAGGGGGGCTGCAGCACCAGTGCAGACTCCCCAATGCTGGGGGGGGGGAACCCTGAGCCTTGTGGGCTGGATCCAGGCAACCCCAGGCCTTAGGTTCCCCACCCCTGGTGTAGTGGGATGAAACTGAGCAAAGGGAGAAATTCTCTCTGATGGCCAGAGCACGTTGGCTGTGTCTAGACCCGCCCATTCAGAGGGAGGCTGGATAAAATCACTGGGGTCTGTTCGGTGTCGCTCAGCCTTCTGTACGGCTCTCCGGGAGGGGGCTAGCATTCCTTGGAGAGTTTATACAGCGCCTCAGAACCAGAGCTGGGGGCAGGGCGGGGCTGGCGGAAATGCTGCTTCTGCACTGCCTGGAAGAACTTCCCTCTCGTCTCCCCCCCACGTGCGCAGATCCGACGAGTTCTGGGTGTGGCTGGGGCCAACCCTGCTGCC